ATGACTCCACCAACTTCGGGACAAAAGAGATTTAGGTTCCCTTTGGGCGGTAGGGTGGGGGGAACCTTGACACTTGCGAAGTTTCCTGAAAGTGCACCACAGGACGTTCTAAGGTCGTGCCAGAGGACTATATAAAGACACCCCATTCCAAGCAGTGTGACCTCAACCCAGTCCTGGCAAGCAACCTGCAAGGTGTCTGCACCGAATCATAAATCAAGTTACTTCATCCCCACAAAAGCATGGCAAAATGAGCCGGCCCTGCCGCATTCTATAAACTCCAGAGGACTTTGAGCTTCTATGACCTCCGTGGGCAGCCGTCCTTGTTGAAGGAGGCCAAGCTGCGAGGCTTCTCGGACCGGCAGATCGCCTTAGCGCTGGGGCCCAGCGCTGACCACTTAGACGAGCTGGGCACCTCCCCAGCGCTGCTGCCGGTGGACCATGGGAGCCAACGCTACGCAGGCGGTTTGGAGGGTAGCTTCTTGTTGCTCGTAGTAAGGATGCTCCTAGTCGCGATGCCAGGAGCCCCTAATAGCGTCCTTGTTCCTAGTTGTTGAAGTCAGTGGTTGTCTGAGATTTCCTTGGGGATTTGGAGCCGATCATCGGCTCACCAGTGCGATGATCGGCTCACCTACTGTAGCTGATTTGGGATTACAGAATCCTGGAAGGAAGTGCCACGGTCAGACACTTGCAGTAGCAAGGTTCGCTACTAGTAACAAGTGCATCGCTTCTAGTAACAAGTGCCTTACTAGTAGTAACAAGGTTCGCTACTAGTAACAAGTGCTTGCAGTCTCAATCGCCTCAGGAGGCCCTGTGATGGAGGGCCATATTCGACACCTTCGAAAGAAGCTGGGCATTGTGCCGATGGTCAAGCAGATTGACACCTTGGCCGCGGAGTATCCGGCAGAGACCAATTATTTGTACCTGACCTATTCTGGCCAAGAGCATGATGTCGACCTGGTAGGTGGCGACAAGCAATGTTCTGAGGTGCAGATCAAGAACCTGATTCCGGCCATCCCAGAGCTTCTGACATTGAAGTGCAATGAGCCCAGCAAGCCGCGGGGCAAAGATGAAGAAAAAGACTCTCGCATCATCGTCCTGGGCTGTGGGCCATACCGCATTGGCAGCAGTGTGGAGTTTGATTGGTGCAGCGTGTCCTGTGTGCGCACTTTGAGGTCCTTGGGGCACAAAGCTATTGTGATCAACTGCAACCCTGACACCTGCATTTATTGGAGAATGGATAATTTTCATGCTTTTCTTCATTGTTTTGCAATTTGCCAGGGGTTTCATCCAATCTGTAACTTTGGCCATTATGTCCTAGTTCTACCATCTTGATGCCATAAACGATGGACAAGGAGCCCGTGAAGTCACATTCCTATCAGCGTCATTTTTATTCAAAAAGAACCAGCATGTGCCAGAGCACGAAGACTGAGCCAGGTTCCTCACATATGATGAGTTAAAAAGAACACCACCCAAGGACGCCACAGCTCTCAATTGTGGGAGGACTTCTTTCAGGTCCCCTCGCCTCTCCGATCGGAGAACTGGCGCCTCTCCAACCACGGATTCTTTCGTTCACCGGTCGTTCACCACCCGAGGAGACGGTGTCCACGGACTTCGACGAGTCGAATCGTCTCTACTTCGAAGAGCTGAGCCATGAGCGAGTGATGGACATTGCAGAGCTGGAGAGCCCCCGCGGAGTGGTGGCTTGGAGACGACGGACCCCGACCCATTTCAAAGAACCCCTGCCATTTCTTGGGGGCATGTGCAAACGACGGTTTGCCATGTTTCACTTGGTGGGTGTGGGATGGAACCTGATTCTCGATGTTATGAATCGACGAACCAAAGCTTGAAGATGTTTGGAATAAAAGGCTATAGATGGCAGAAAGTAAGAGGGTTTAGGTTGTTTTGCTTCGCGATTTCTTTTTGGCTTTGGGGTGAGGCGGTCGGTCTTTTGATTTCAGCTTCGAGCCTTCGACCACTTCTTGCGCCGACCACTCAGGTGGTGTCCGTTGGTGGCCAGACCCCCAACAATTTGGCCTTGGGCGTCTTGCGCTGTAAGAACTTTGTTTCGTTGTGTTTGGTCATGTTTCTTCCACAGCACTCCCTAAATCCAGATTGAAGGCAACCCTTTGCGGAAAGAGCCGGGGGTGAAGCCAAGAGAGACTTTTCTTGTGGTTTCCTTACGTTTTAGCATAGTTTTGCGCAGGAAGAGCCTTTCCTTATTAAGGATTGGTTGGAAAGTGGAAACAGGCCTAGACTTTTTGGATCTTTTTGGACAACATCGCACGTGTTTTGGGATATATGTGCAGATACATATTATGGACTTGGATCTTTAAGGTATTTCTTTCCATTTCAAACTATCCTAAAATATCCAAACATTTCCCTTTCTCACTTGTCGTGTTTGCTCATTGGCCGCCTGACCAGTTGAGGCTTGCATCGAAGCGGGGTTCGTGCCTTGGCAATGGTGTCCCGCAGCCCAAGCAAACAAGATTCACCGATTCACCTTTTGAACACTCCTAATTAGGCACAATCAATCCTTTGAGATTTGAAACAAGGGCTTTTCATTTTCACAGCGTGGCAGGCATCTTGGGGACTTCAGTGGAGGCCATCGATGCATGTGAGGATCGCAACAAGTTCAGCCAGCTCTGCGATGCCTTGCGTGTGGACCAGCCGGAGTGGTCGGAATTTGCCACTTTGGAGGACTGTCTTGCGGACCGCCTTGCTGCCCAAATCCTTACGAGTTGGTTTTGGTATTGACTTCACTCTTTAGATTTGAGACTCGATAGCGAGCGACATGCAGTTTTTTGCACAGAATCAACTTAGCTGGCATGCGTTTGTGTTTGGGTTGCAGCACCTAATAGCTCTCCTTTAGCTCGTTCCATCTCTAGGAAGCCAGACGCTTCTGCACGATGACCGGCTACCCTGTCTTGGTTCGTCCATCATATGTGCTCAGCGGTGCAGCGATGCGAGTGGTCTCGAATGATGATGACTTGGAGATCTTCTTGAAGACAGCTGCTGTGGTGAGCCGAGATCACCCAGTGGTGATTTCCAAGTACATTTCAGGACCTTCAATTATGGCTGACTGTAGGTCAAAGCGCCCATCATTCCTGATGCCATGAAAATCCGAAACAGGACAAAGTGTATCAATGTGTTGGTAGTTATATGACATGCTCTGCTATGCTCCCTTCGAGCTTCAGGAGCAAAAGAGGTGGAGATGGACGGCATTGGCAATGGTGGTGAGTTGGTGAATTATGCAATTGCCGAGCACATTGAGAATCTGAGCACACCAAGTTCAGAGAGTGTTCTAGTCCCAAAGTCTCTACATTGACATAGTTTGGACACATAATTATATATGTCAGTGGTTTGCTGGCATTGCTAGGAATGCCGGTGTGCACAGCGGCGATGCGTCACTTTTGCTGCCTGCCCAGCGCCTCTTCGTAGAGACACACCGGCGAGTGAAGCGCATTTCGCAGAAGCTGTGCAAGGCTTTGCGGATCTCAGGTCCCTTCAACATTCAGTTTCTTGGACCAGACCACGGCATGCCACAGGCCCGTAGGCGAACCATCATGAACGGGTTACCAGACGGCTTTGGTGCCATGCGTAGTCCTGCGGTCATCCCTCACAATCTAGCCCAGACTTGCCCAGGTTCATTTGCAAGGACAATGAGGTGAAGGTGATTGAGTGCAATTTGCGTGCTTCTCGCTCGATGCCTTTCATTTCTAAAACCTACAATGTGAACTTCATCGAGTTGGCCACGCGCATCATGACGGGACCGACGGGTGCGGGCCCGGTGCGGCCAGCGATCATCCAGCCGATGGACCTGGACTATGTGGCCTGCAAGTGTCCCATGTTCTCCTTCGGCCGCCTCAAGAACTCCGATCCATGCTTAGGTGTGGAGATGTCATCCACCGGTGAGGTGGCATGCTTTGGAACCAATGTGCATGAAGCCTTTCTGAAAGGCACCTCGGTGCAGATTGTTCTTTGGGTGATCGTTCTTCGGGAGCCTTTTGAGTTTCGCACCTGTGAACTTGTTGGCTGACCCAGCATTTCTGTGCTCTTTGACGCTGGGGATTTTCAGGACTGTACATTTCCGGTCTTTGAAATACTGCATGGCCACCGTAAAGACTATTCCGCCGTAGTCTCACTTCTACCGAGGCATGTTGGCAGCCAACTTCAAGCTGCCCAAAAAGAACATTGTCATCTCCATCGGGCCCCAGAGCGCTAAGAATGAGTTCGTCAGCAGCGGCGCTGCGAAACAACTGCAGGCCAGCTCCATGGTCGGAACCGCGGAACCGCTCTGAGTGTGTATTGGAGAATGGTTGGCTGACACCACCACAATAGTTTCTGATGGTTGTTGCCAGTTGCATGCTTTCTTGGTTCTGGTTTCTATGTTGAACCCTACCCACTTGGCCCCAAATCCGGTGAAGCCAGCCGCTGGACATGAGCCAGGACATGGGCTTCAGCCTCTTCGCGACGAAGAGCACACATGAGTGCCTCTCGGAGGGCGGCGTTGCTTGCAGCTTCGTCTACAAGCCCTTGATCAAGCGTGTGCCGTGGCAGAACACTCCAAAAAAGAAACGAGTAAGAAACATGACAGGCTCCAGGCTTTGGTGGTTAGAGCACGAAAGCTGAAGATGATGGAGGTCCGTTAGACACATGAGAGCTCATTCACGGGTACGGGTACTGGTACAGTTCATTCAGTTTACCCCCTCAACTATTAATTCGCATTGTTTGTGCTAGCAGAATGTCCGCAATCCGCTCTGGGGTGCCTCCACATGGCACCCACACGCGCACGCACACACACACACACTTTGCACATTTCAATCATTGAATCATAGTCATAAAATTGACACAAACCTTTTTTGTCTCAGATGTGTGCCTTGGTTCTTTCTGTCTACGTGAGTTGCCTCACCAGACTTCCTCATACTTTCAATGCACCTGCCCGAGGGCACTTTGTCAAGATCAGTTAAACAATTGTGTTGTCATGCTAGGACAATTGCTATATAGGTATATTTATATATACTGTAACTGTAAGTGCTATATAATAAGGTATGGTTATTTATGCAATGCAGTCAATTGAATTTCAGAAAGGGCAACCTATACACCAGCATTTCTCAAGGCATTCTCTGGACAAATTCCAACAGTTGGGGGAATCTTTTGTGACATGTCAACACTGCATGAAAGAAGGATGTGGTGATCCAAGCCATTCCAACGCGCACCAGCCAGCCATTCCAGCCAAACTGACCAGATCGCTCTAAGGAGCCCAACGTGTTGACTTTGCTTCAAGGTGGCAAGATCGACTTGGTGATCAATGTGCCCGACTCCATGGATTCCAGTGGTGTCTCGTTGAAAAACTCAGGGAAGGAGCTCGGAGATTCGTTTTCGAACTGAGGCTACGGTTGAGGTAGCTTGATAATTTAAGGGCTGCCGCCCAGTGCCGCCGACCCCAGGAAGGGAGACAAAAGAGGTGTGGGGCGGACAGAAGGCATGGTGACGCGTGGGTGGTAGCGCAGAACACATGGGGACACCGCGGCGTGCTGCACCGGCTATGTGGAATCCCCAATGTGAGGAGGGGGCAGGAGGGGGTGCTGCATCGGCTAATGTTGAACTTGGATTAATAAAGTACCCCAGAATAGTGACACTTTTTTTCCTGCACAGATTAATAAGGCCACCAGAATAATGTCTTTTTTTTTGGGAGGGGTAGTTGTAGTGAGATATTTTTTATTGTTATAGTTTACTTTTTCCCTTCTGACTTTGCTGATATTTGCTTTTGTACAGGCTTTTGGATGGAGATTTCCATTGATAGCTAAGTAATGATTCCTTTCATTTTAGTATTGCCAGAGTAGCTCCAGAGGTAGCTAGCTAAGGATTCCTTATTTATTTATCAATTGATTGTTTTTCTATCACATTGTTCTGGAGTCTCAATAGTTGAGGGGGGGGGGG